AAMCYYCSRWTTAGAAAGTGGAAGCTCATATAGTAGAAACTAATTATAATTAATAGACCTCATAAAATCATCGAAATAGCTAAAGGATTTCCGATAGGAAGCCCGAGTAAGTAAGAATTTGTAGTGCAAGGACAAATTTACATAAAGTACCCGTTGGTCAGTCAGTAAATATCATCCACTGATGTCGGCATACATTTTACATTGGTTATATAAAGACACACTTCTCTTCTAAAATCATTTTCATTCAAAATTTAGATACMTAGTTTTCTATGTGACCACTTTTACGTAGTAGTTATGTACTTCTGATTTCAAYGAAAATGGTTTATCTTGGAATATTTTAGATTGGAGCTCATAAGTAGAAATCGAGGTGTTTTAAAAAAACTTTTTTTACTTTTTGATGGACATGAAAGGCGGAATACTAACTAGCTAACAACAGTAGATAAGTGAATTTTTAATAYATGAAAGCGTCGCTCCACAATGGGTGTATGTCAACACGAGTCACTTCCGATTAAATYATTCTTCAGCACAAATGACAACCTAATGATTAAAGTCCAATACAAAAGAACAAAAMAAGTAGAAAAATACAATAAATGCTTCAAAAAAAACATAAAAAAAAGAGTTGAGTATAATTTCCAGATACAAAACGTCCAGAACAGCTAGCAGCTATAAGCTAGCAGCTATATTCAAACATAGATCTTACCTCTTTTCAGTAATTCTTCTTGTCGGAATGGTAAACTTTCAGCTTCCAAAACCAAAAAAGAAGAAATTAACAATATTAATATCTCCTTCATAGTTAATCTTTGAATATAATTCTTGGAGGAACAACATGGACCTGTGCTTGGAAGGCCCTCCAAGAACTTGAACAAGCTACAAACAATTTTGTAGCTTTTGCCGCAGGTTGCTGTGTTAATTTTTAATGCGACAGTTTATGAATGAACGCTTATCATCGTTGAAAGCGAACATTACCCAATCAAATCCTGGCTTTTAAAATCACGAGTCTTGTCAATGTTGTTCAGTTTTAACAGCAACTTGGGTCAGTCTGAATTCACACATGGTCTATGGCATACGTTGGATTCTGTCTTATGAAGCATTTTCCATTATAGAATGAATGGAATAAAACTACAGTAGCCCACTAGCAATACGACTCAATGTCGAGTGCAGACTAAGCGAGGCACTGAATCAGTAGTTTTTCTCTAGCTTTTGTAAATAAAACTTTCTAAACACGATATAAATTGCTGACATGTAGCGTGCTTGCTTTGTGTACAACACTCGAAATATGAACTTCATTGAAGACTACAAATCGATGCTGTGAACTAAAACAAGTCAACAAGTACCTTGCGWATTTTTATACAACTCTTCAAACGTTTTACAGACTTTTGAATTGTATTTTGAAAAAATACGTTAGAGAAGAATTCTATCAAAGTGCGAAAAAGGTTTTTGGTAAAGTAGCAATTTACGTTGAAGAATCTGCATCATTTTGAAAATGAATTCTCTACCATATGCATGTTTAAAATTTGCAAATTTCCTGTAAGTTTAAATCGAAAATATGATTTCCTCCAATCAAACAGTAGCTATAATAAATTTTCATGGCATGTACCATCGAGGACAATTTTTTCCCGGGACTTAATTTATCAGTAAAAACATGATTTCATGTAATATGCATTTAAAGCAAAAATAAACAACTTAACGTAAATTAAAACCAGAAACTTTAATTTTTTTGCATAGTGCTAGCGCGCTAAAAAGTTAAAACGTGAAAAAAGGTACTAGAGTCCAGCCAAATAGCGCTTTATATGGATCGCAGTATAGAAAACAATTCGAATATTTCCGTGCAATTTAGCACTATATAATTACTAAAGTTTTTCCTGGTTTCCACGCCATAAAAACAGGCTCTTTGAATAGAATTAGACAGTTTTGCACAATGGCCCAATTTAACCTATGATAAAATAATCTCACAGGTGAACTGGCAATGAACAAWRARATACCTGTTRCTCCAGCCAATCAGAGTGRACAATCCCAAACACCACAATCATTCGTACGGCTTTTCCGACATTTACTCKGGAAATTGAAAGAAAACCTTTGGCTCCTTGTTGATTTAATCAATCTCAAGAGCRGCAAAATGAGAATTGCATGGTTTGTCGTTGGTTTTGCAGTGCTTGCGCTATCAGTTAATGCTAGGCCTAGAGGTAAGTTTTTTTGGTGTGGGATTAACGGTTTCTAATCCATCTACGCTTGGATGAGCTCGAGTAATAATCGATACCAATCAAAATAACGCTTATTTTCATCAGTCAAACGATGGATTTATTCATAAAGCAATTGCCAAAGAAAACTAGCAATCTTTTTTTTTATTTTGTTTTTATAAAAAAGTCAAACGACAAGAGAACGTCTAAAGAGCACGCGAAAGAGGTCACTTTCTYAGGAACACACACTTACAACAAATACATCAATATTTATTAGATATTTACAACTGATTGACATGCCTTTTTGATATAGATATAAGTATCGGTCAATCATTACTAGATAATCTCTACAGCAGGTTTTTTTATTATCACTTTTAAGTGCGGTTAATATTTATCAATATTGTTAATCAAATTACCTTTGTTATTGCTTTCGCTTTGTTTTGTTTTATTAATTTGTTGTTTGTTTTGTTTTGTGCTTGTCTTTTTTTTTTCAGTTTTGCGCAAATTTTCTCCCTCTCTTTATTGTTTCAAAATTTCTCTCTCTTTTTTTGCATTTTTGGCATATTTTCATTTTCTATGTTAACTTTAATTCCCTTATTTCCTAAGTCTTTCTTTCTTTGATCATATTTCATTGAAAATAATTCACTCCCGAMCCCTTTTATAACTTCCTAGTCAGATTTCCATTATAACTATTTCTCCATTTTTCAGTTCCAGCCTGTAAAAATTGCTTTAAAGTTCTWAACACTGACATAAAGAATGCYGCAAAGAAAAGCATGACMGCAGTTGCACAAGCGGGCATGGACCTCACCCAGATGCGWATCCAGTTCGCTGATCAGCAATTCAACCTTGAGGCAAATCTGAAAAAGGCCAAAGAAATGTCCGAAAACATAAAGTCTAAAATACAGAACAAAATTAAAGAAATCATGAAAAACTTTGAAAAAATGACGCAAGATACAAAGGAAAAGTTGGCCGAAGTTGCAGGTTTGGAATATTTAAAATTATCTTTGAATAGGAAAATATCTGTCATTTCTGTAAATGATTCTTGAAGATCTGGATACAAATCATTGAAACCAGCACTTGTGACTTTGAAATGTTTCGTCATCTCTCTTCAATATATTCCAACCATTTCTCTTGGTTTTAGATCGCTATCTTTACTCGTGCCCAGGTAGTAGGCCTGCAGGCAGGAGATATAAAGTGCTGCGTGAAATTTGGTTATTTTTCCAAGTTAATTGATTGCAATCACACAATAATATTACATGCATGTACAATATATTTCAGCTGCTTCTGACGCTCTTGGGGAATTAGAAAAGAAAGTTGGCACCAAAGAAGTCAAAGACAAAGCCAAGAAAATTCGTAATGATATGGCCAAAGGGCAGCAAGCCAAATCCAACCTTGCAAAACAAGTCTTGAATGAAAATGGAGTCATTGCAAAACTCGATGCTGCCAAAATCCTTGCAAAAGATAAGGTCCTGAAGGCTGCCAAGGCACTCGATAAAAAGAAAGCTACAGTTAGAGATGACATTGCACGACTTGAAAGCGATATGTCGTCTGCTGAAGACCAACTGAAAAACGAAGAAGATCAAGAAATGGAAAGTGAACGAGAAGCACGAAGYAAGATCCAGGAAGCCGTGAAACACAACAAGGCCGCAATCAATAAAGCAAAACTKTTCTTGTTAAGCGTGGAGAAAGGGATMGARAAATTCAACAATGATATCAAAGAGGTGCCATTGAGCTAAATATCACTCTTCCTGTGCATTCCGAATTGTTTCTGAGAAAAGTTTGCTTTGATTAGAGATATATTTTTGTAAAATGTAATTTRCGGATGTAAATAAATATTTTGTTTCTGTATAATTGCTTTGTGTGTATTTTGTTGCGTTTATTTTGCTATTAATGTTTGTCTTGCTATGTGTTTTTTTCTCTTTTAGATTTTTTTGTGTTGTTGTTTTTTGATTTATATTAATTGTCTGCGGATTGAAGTTAATTCATCTATTGGCAATAAAATGAACCAATTAAGCTGTGCAGTACATAGAAATGTACTGTTGACATCGTTGATACCAGCTCTGTAGCTCAAGCAGATCTATAAATGCATCGACTTCCTAAAATAACTCCACAACACCTATAAAAAAAGAAAGACCATTTCAATAAAGAAGATCAGTACGGCATTGTTCAGCCTAAAATAGACACGAGGGCGTCACGACTCATTTGCCGACGGCACTTACGAGATTGATGCTTGATAAAGTAAGTCAATACAACACTTGGCCTTSGGTGRACAAACCTGAATGCTCCATAAAACAGTATTGGTTGCCTTGTTTATGCAATAGTCTTATTGTCTGTCCCAGCCAAAGGGTCATTGTGGAAAACTACAAACACGAGGTAGTTAAAAGCTGTAGAATGTCTTCCATCAGAGTACGTTTGATTTTAGGGATGATTCTAACTGCTTTCTCTGTCACTGAGGCCGAGTTCTTCAATCTCACGCTCATGAGAAAAGGAATCCTTGACTATTTAGACATCCCTGACAGACAACAGATGCAAAATCACCAGCAGACAGCTCACGAAACCCCCGCGTTTATGAAGGAGTTGTATCGAATGAAGGTAAAGAATCAGGAGAGCGACGGTAACAACATTAAGGAAGCAAGAGATGACATAGTTCGTTTCTTCTATCCAAAAGGTATGGTATTGTTGACTTTAAACCAAAATATAACTCATTTTTGGTATAAATTTGATATAAACAATTGTATAGACATTTTGCACAAATGACAAAAGTATCAACAAGTACATCCAGAGAGGATCGAAACTGTCTTTCTAACAATAATCAACGTAGAAAATTGTATGAATAGTATTATCAGGGCTATRACTTTGTCCAAACAGTAGAAAAAAAGTGTCCTGTCGTGAAACAAGTACARAACTATTCTGTAACATCTTAGATCCTTTAAAAAAGTCCATGAATTGTATTCTATGAAGTATAAATTTCCTTTGTTTGGCTTAGAATTGTATATTTAATTTAGTATATTCAAGGTCAAGGCTATTCTAGCATATTCAGTAGATTATATGATCCTGAAACTACATTAAGATATTCGCATCTTACGGCCCATTTATGCAGCGAACCTCAAGTGTTCATAATTGAAAACAATGGTTCAGCTTATCATCATTGCACTGCCTTCTGCACGTGTGAGCAYMAACGTTTAAAACAGGCTAAAGTAAACAAAGAGCTCTTGGAAACAGAAGTTTACACATCATTGTTAAATAAATCAATAAATTAATTAATCAATCAATACATCATTTCAAGAAGATATGGCGAGTTGTTGCTCACACTCACTCTCCTTAGAATTTTTGACAGCTGCACAGCACTTCCCACAGCAAGTAATGACTGAAGTTATACATTTACTTCTTTCTATTTCCTGACAGCGCAAAGAACAAGAAAGACAAACACTTTGAATTATGAATTCAACTTTAATKTGTCGTCACTGCAAACCAAGGAAAAAATAACGAGCGCGGTTTTAAGACTTAGCAAAAGACGAACGAAGATCAAAGACAAGACAAGGCTGTGCTCCCTCGCGCTCTTCTTACAACAGCCTCGAGATAAACGGACAAGAAACAAAGCAAGAAGTACACCACCAGTTTTCGTCGCTATCAAGATTGTACCATTTTCTGGAAAGCGTCTTTGGGTTAAATTCAACGTCTCAAAAGCACTTRARGAYCACCTAGGGAAATATTCCAACAAGATAGTACAATTTAGAGTCTTYGTCGTTGCATACGCGGCAAAACTTCCACCTAAATCATGGATMAGTCGACGGGGGAAGCATAAACCAAACCTAATCGTCTACTCCAGACTMAAACCAGGAATGCGCAAGACCCCTAGCTTAGATTTAACGGCWCTGGCCAACTTGATCGATGTACCAGTAAAAAGCAGAGCAAAGCGAGGAAATAACGACGAGTATTGTAARMGGARGCACCTCTACGTGAAATTCGTCTCCCTGAAGATTGACTGGATAGTAGCACCATTGGGATTTAGTGCATATGTATGCAAAGGAACATGCCCAGAGGTTTTAACGTCGAATTTTAACCCTAATAACCATGCCATACTGCAAAATCTACTGCATTATCGTTACTCGAAGAATGTTCCTAAAGCTTCGTGTGTACCTACAAGTCTACAGGCATTGACATTGCTTTATAACGATGGCAGTTTGGATAGYTTTGCTCTCAAAGAGTTTCCTRATATGATAGCCTCTAGTTGTGGGTGTCGATAGAYTTGCAAGAAATAGTTTGAAAAGACGTTCTTGTGTACACTTTGACAAATAACTTCATATGGTTTAGATAGGTAATCCCAYTTACAATGCAATCTATTCTCCTGTATTCCTTAAAATATAGCACGCTGAAGGTTTTTTTGCGCCAGTTGAGGAAACAATAATATGTATAATATATATATATTATACAGCAATATGCAGAAATTATGATCAGAAATTATGGGGTATCATCGCCAATATTTTCTTCGTAAAGTACTTCAAAAAAAATATCAGCAATGATGTCCCATAATTTCTGGTATATTCTATACATACTTGAAATATGTCTTAAAACGATCATGATTTCTGCGTATTGCCGTATATACATTTATATATTTTTAAATGTGGTTATAAAACGACTCGGTAAGCCAACATATCTGACAAAATACACTGAGCTACTACAATAGCTAAGTGGTTTGGAATCGAACAATCAACAAGACACTTATTCATCATCATTAAATCTGTAATTTAGTATTTTCTGAGATGGTTGTATATTATTGCATAAAAGTAATTGCAATAAAGTATTGTTGTTGTTGTTGTGATATTGTCGCTGCTAATGTTGTTATTGCTAATGATGGGCCTGGTCTTTTCTCAGAGAACCTGATAGACGGATTACTTCTGCTGTTGTTGTTGATGCGTTTGTTCTTCTTATTGTTGTGAATCGATACAGCTTGAGAGAACTCATGCAAAGAGCAAAGTCCACAACCATGTCGGCGCCATGAAATACCGCAAAATTCCTGCGTAGTAAGTCCGTCCATGAAATCTTGAAAAGACTCTTCAAAATTCAATSATGGAAAAATCCTTCCACGCCCCTTCCTCCCCCTGCCTAGCTTTATTGTAATACCAAAACAAATGCCACGTGTCCGCATGTATCTCGTTATCCTTTCATCTATTGGGTCTACTCGATTTGTTTGCATGATCAATCCTCCCCAGTGAGAAACCCTTCCCCCTTGTTCGAGCACCCCTCCCCATTAAAGTTGGTGCTGTTTCCTAGTCCATTGTAGYAGACACACCCGTTAAGTCCGACRTACACGAAGGAAAGTTTGTAAGAGAAGCGCCACGCTGCTTTGAGCAGCGCATGCGCACCAATTTTTGCTGTTCACGGTGAACAAAATGCTGATCAAAGCGGCTCGTGTGACATTTCCTTTATGCACTTTTCTATCGTRAGCGGCTGGCTTTAGATCAGTACGTGACTAAACAGAACAAAAACCGGAAATATAGATTAACATGTGCAGTGAGCTTGAAAACCAGACTCTGTAATTATGACTAAATCTATTCAGTCAAATTATACATGTGATTGTACGTCACGCCATACACCCTCTTCCAGCAATACACAGTCTGAACTGGCAAACCAGACAAAGACATGCTGACTATTTAGGAGGAGCCGACGGGTTCCTGGCATGGGAGAAATATATCTGTTCATATGTCCCAGCCAGCTGTAAGTCACAACTGGTTGCCAGCAAGAAATTCAGGAAAAAATCTCTCCAGGCAAGGAATACTTTCAAAGAATTTTTGCCAGGAAAATAACATTTTTCTAACTAAAAAATATCAAAGCCGTTTTGACCATAAAAACGTTATATAAGCCTTTTTTGACCTTAAAAACGTTTGCCAGGAACAAAATTATTTTAAAGAAGGAAGAAAGGGCGCCACATTTGCTTGTGAGATTGTCAGCAATGTAGCTCAAAAACTCCTTTCTCAGGAAAAAAAWTCGTACAAGAACAGTTATTAAGAAGAACAGACCCCGCCGGATCCTCCTAACTACTATTGCTAGTTTTTGGTCGACGTCACGACAGCGGTGTTGGTTGATGTTAATGAAGATTTTCTCATCGGTATCACCTGTTCATCCAAACAAAATGGCTGACAATCTTTTGTCTTTTGAACGGCCAATGGAATGACAAGTGAACTGTATTCCTGCAGTACGTACATTGCATTCTTTAGTAGCGATCGTCGCTATTGCTTAATTTTAAGCCGTAGGGATTTGCATGCGCCCGCAATACTCTTTGTGCAGGTTGCAACGAGATCGGAAATTAATTTTTTCAGAATTTACTTTCAATKGTCTTTCTCCCGGAATAACTTTCTTCTAAGCACTATAACTTTCCTTTATTTCTATGTCGTGTATCTCATAGTGTCATGCGATCCTCATATTTTGATGAAAAGTGAGCTTATAACTGATAAAAGACTGATATTGCTTGTCGTAGCCGCTGTTCTGTTGCTAACGAGACTATGCCGAAAACAACAGCTGCATAGTCAAATAGAACTGCAAAATTAAGAATTATGAATTCAATGATAATGTGAATTGCAGCCTTAGTTAAACGCATATTTTAACGCAAGTAACTCTTTSGAAAGAACTTTACAGCTTAACATAATTGACTCTATTATCAACAATTGAGAACAGCTAAATAATACCAGAATGTCCAAGATATTAGTTGAGTTAAATAATATTTCTTTATACATTCAAATTGAGAAGCATATTTAATGTACGCCCAGATCTCATTARAACTACACCCAAATTTGAAATAATTCAAGTGGCTCAGCGATAATCAAATAGTAGCGTCCCTACGCCCCACGAGCGGTGATCAAACCTCGCGTCTCCATCATGAAGTACCCACCCATCAAACTCCACCCAATGTAATGTTTTTATCAAGGACATTTCTATTCGGTTGYTGTTGTCTGTGCAAGAATAAAGTGCTAAGACAGACTTTAAGAAGAGACAAGCTTGGGGAAATTCCATGGATTTTTTCTTTGGAAAAATAAGGMCTCTTCTCATTGCGGCTGTTCTGTTGAGGGTTACACAAGGTAGGCACGCTAAATAACGTCCGGCTTTTTAGTAAAAAACTCTCATTTGTCGTCTTAGTCTGTAATTTTATTAATACTAACGATATCGTGTTTCAAGGAAAGACAGTTTTTAATATTTAGCGCATATTTTTTTGTAATTTTTTAATTGTACTTCAATTCATATCATCATAAAGAGTTGCATTTAGAGAGACTTTTGAAATGCCTGCCACAGTACTCTAGTTGTTCAAACCATCAATATGTAGGCATTAAAACAAACATTACATCGAACCTTATGTAAACAGCCATTTTCTATCGAATAAAGTTGAAATTTTCGACATATATTTTCAATATTTGGAAAATACAGCAGCGAAACAACTTTTAGCTTCAGTCAATGTCATAGAATATAGACAACTCACAAGACTCTGAGAATTTTACAAAACAAGAATATGKGCTCATGATATTCCGTAAGACTTTTACAAAAGTTGAAATTACAAAGATTTTGGATATGATCAGTCTACCGAAGAGTTTTTTGAAAGCTGTAGTGTGTTTTGTAGAGTCCTTCGAACAGAAACGCCTTAAAACATTGTTTACAAGTACCAGTGGTAGAAGTGTTAGGATCACTTATCTACCTGTTAGTATTTACTGAACCACGAAATCACAAAGGTAATATTGACTCTATCAGTATAATTTTCAATTTTTGTCATAACAAACACTTTGAACCGAKCAAAGCAAGGATTTTTAAGGCGAAAAATACGTTATTTATAAGGAAACGCCTGAAATTTTACATGGGTCTTAAAAATGATGTCATGTCTAAGATTGTCACAAGATTCCACTACGAAACATTTTTATTTTGAAAACATAGCAACTAAAATACTGGAAGACAATAATATTTTGGCTTAAACATAGTAACATGATAAGTCCTGGAAATCTCCAGATTTGATAAGTTATTTCTTGGCTTTACCCTGAGGTGGGAGAGACAGGATGCCAATCAACAGCAACAAAACTACATCATCGCAGGAGTTCACATCATGTGAAGATCTCCGTGATTTCGGGTGACCTAGTATTTACGGGTTTCCTGTGGTACATAAAATGGCGGGAAAATACACGACAATACGTACTTGCACGCTAACAAAATCAATTTCAATAGTTTTTTACAACATTATCGTCAAAATCTATTCTTAATAAAACTCTTTTGCTGTGGAAATAATCTTCTTTATTCGAAAACACTTTTTGAACGCCATTTTACTAGGAATTATACATGTTCGGCACGACACTGAATTTCAAACTTTGAGCTCCAGAGCAAGGAATGTATAAATTCGAAGTAGACAAGTTTTGCCTTGTGTAAGTTAAATTTATTCAATGCACTGATTTAGTTTGTACTTCTTAATCGTTTATAGGTATATCCCACGGAAAGCATTTACCATCACTTCTAAGAGAAAAACGCCTTGACAYCTTGGAAGATGAGCCCGCAAGCAATGAACCAGTTGAATATGGGTCGAGTGCAACTGATGATACAATGAGTGAAACGGAAAGTTCTGAGAATCAACATCGTCTGTCAAACTCTCATGTTGCTCTCTCTGATAAAAGTGAGAAGAGAAAGAAATCGCATTATGACGTCAATGAAGGCATTGGRGCTGAWATCTTGAACGAGCTTAAATCCAAACAGAAACTTTCTAAATCTAAAACAAACGATGAGCCGAAGATCGATCAACATCGTATATCAGAAAATGACGAACCAAAGACCTATAAACATCGTATTCCAGGAAAAAATGACAAAATTATTTTACCAGGAATGCAGTTTGACTTYATAAGACAAGACACTGCAAAGTTGCCGCGACCAAATAAGGAAATGCTGCATCAATTTAAACTTAATTTAAAACGAAAAATAAGGCGACGTCTCAGAGCGTCTAAGAAACTTGAACRAATGAGAACCAAAATGGCCAAAGCTGATCAAGAACCATTAGTAAAATCAGCACTAGGTCGTACAAGGCAGCAAATTACTTCATTGCCATCAAGCTCACGATTCTCAAGGTTGCCAAAAAGTTTCTCCAAGGGGTTGAGAGCGCAGTATAAGATACCAAGGATGTTTTCGGTCCACAATGCACCAACATCAAAGACTTACATCAAAATGAAATCCAGCAAACGAGCAGAAAACCCAAATCATTCATCCAAAGAATCACTGCGTGCTCATTCTAAGACGCCAACATTATCTTCATTACCAAGTGTTAAAACCTCGAAACTGAACAGTTCTAAACCAAAGCAAACCAATAARACAATGGGACACCCAACTAAGCCATTGACGCGTCAAAAACGTCTTTCACCAAGCAAAGATGATTTGCTGGACTCGTCCATGAAACTGTCATCCACATTGCGGTTTACCTTCAGTTCGCCTTTCCAAGGRCAAAGCGATTCCATCTCAAAGTCCTCGACCAGTCCACCGACCACAAGCGCTGCAGATTCTCCAACCGCGATGCCTCATTTTGCTCCTTCGCCCTCTACTCTACCTGACTTTCCACCATCGCTTAAAGAGATACCATCTGAAGATCTTATGATGTTAAATGATTTCTTTAACCACGCTACTGCTTTTAAACAACAGCTGAGCAAAGCAAAAATCTTTTCCAAGAAAGAACAACACCATTTCATTCATAGTGTGGAAAACAAAGAAAAACAATCGGATAACTATTTACAAATGAAAAATGATCATGAAGAAGTCAAAAAGCAAAATCCAGGAAAGAAGGAAAATGAGGAGTTTGGTTATAACAGCAAAAACGGCCACATGCAGCATTAYGAAGAAATTCCAAGCGAAAAGCATGATCGGAAAGAAAACGAAAGTAACGCTTATGCCAAGCAGCTGTTAGAATTTCAACGCAAAGCAATAGAAGCTGAGGAAAAACGAATAGATGAAGATATTAGAGGTAACAAGCAGCACAAGGTCAAGAAATCTCGCCGATGGAGGAAGCACTTACATGAACTGGAACAAGAGACCCAAGACAAGCAGCATGAAGTTCATAAGCTCTTYGAAGAACTCGCTGAGAAATGGAAACATCGCAGAAACCAAGCTTTACAAGGTGGAACAACTTCAAAAAGCAGAAAGGAAAAGCCTTTGGGTGGAAACGAAACCCTAGGAAATGAAAACCAAAGGTTTGAACAATTCACAAAKACAAGAAAACATAACTTGACTTTACAAGATATRAACTCACAAAAGAATGCAGGTGATTATAAAGATAGTAAAGCAAAAGACGGCGCTCAAGWGCATGATTTGTTTGATCATCTCAGTGCGAAATGGAAAAATCGTCAAAGCCCAGAGAAAGAAAGAGACCACAAATYCAGATGGTTRCCCAATGGTGACCATGCTAATGAAGAAAACAGWTTGGATAGAAAAGCAAACGAGATGAATCGAAAGAGGAAAATGTTTAGTCAAGGAAACCAACGAGAAACACCAACAAAAGCACTGCAGGGAAAAGAAGACGGTGATGATATTGTGGAAATGGCATTTAAACCCACTTTAAGAAGATTTAGTCCACCCATTGCAAGAATCCATAACAAGGAGAGCAATAGGAAAGCCATCGAAGTATCAATCACTAACAAAGTAAAGATATTAAGTAATACCACAGCTCCAACAAGTTCAATTAACCATTATAAAAATAGTTACTTCAAAGAAAATAGCACAATTTATGCTCTTACTGGACAGAAGGTGTTTAAGGTTAATAAGGGTAAATATGAGCAGGGAAACRCTACTAAAAGTGAGCATACGATTTATGATAATGATGACGATGACGCCACTGAAGATGTTGACATTGTTTATGATAATGATGATGATGCACCACCACATGTTACTAATGGGATAAACAATAGGACAGGTTTGCCTGGTCATGCCAGGAAGAAAAAGGTAAATGATACCAGTATTAAATACAACCCGAGTGAAATAAATGATGACAGTGTTAAAGATGACCTTGAAGATGATGACAGGGAGTTGGAAAACAACGATATCAACAAAAACAACAGCCATGACAACAATAACGAAATTACCGATATAAACAATGACAATCATATCCATGGTAACCACAGTGACAACTACAACATGCCAAACAATCTAGTCAACAAAACTGTTAACGACTACGCCAGGGGGGACAACAAATTAAGCAATATGACCGRCTTGAACGACAACAAGAACAACGGCCATAACATAACGAGTGACAATAGCAACTACAACAACGACGACAACGCAAGAAACAACACAGCCTACAACAACGAAGAAGTCCCTCGTGACGATCGACTTTTRTACATTTTAGGTGATCCAGAGCAAGTAACYAAAAAGCAAAGAAGCCGAGAAAGGATCGAAGAGCTAGTACGCAACGTCAAACTAAACGATAATGAATTAACGTCTCGACGAGTTGTTCTAGACAAGCAGCTGAGAGCAAAATTAAAATCAATGGAGATCAGAGTTCTCGACGCYCATCAAAAAGTCAGTAAAGAATTGGAAGATATCGAGAGACACCTCACCAATAGGTATGAAAGACTGCAAAACTCGATACGACAAGCGAAGAGCCTTACCAAGGGCATGGACAACAAAATCAACGACACTRTTCTTCATGTACTGAAACTGGCCAAAATGTCTGCTGACAAAGCCAAGTCTAAAATCCATCTAGTGCAAAGTAAGTTATTTTTTAGAGTGATGACTAGTTATGTCTAGAGTGATCGCACTTARACCGTGCAACTGTACAAAATCTAAGTAGTACTAATTTGCACTAAAAAGTAGATCTGAAGCAAGACGGTATTTAATGCTTCATTTGTATCAATTCAATTGCATTTGCGTACCGCATGCACGATTTACTAAATAGCACTATTTAGTTTGTACAGTTGCACGGTTTAAGTGCGATTACTCTAACATCTATGCTCTGCAGRGGTTGTTTTGTCGTAAATATAACCAATCTTCTTTTATTTATTTATTGAGTTATGCATTTTGTTGTTCATTGTGTTAAACAGAGGCTGCTACAGCACTGACAGACATTGAAAAAAGAATCGGCGCCAACGAAACACGGAATGTAGCTCGAGTCATCAAGTCTCGAATAGCAGAGTTACCAGTTAACAAATACAGRTCCTATCAACGAATTCTTGCAGTAAATAACCTCATTACAAAAATGGACGGCGCGCGATTACTTGCAGAGAGCAAGGCCAACAGTAGCTTTTCTAGCAAGGACGAGATAGAGAAAAACATGGCCGACATCGCTACAAAYGTGCTCGAGGAGTTAACATCAGCAGAGAACGAGCTCAATACCGACACCAAAGTTGAGATGGAGGACGAGCGGGAGGCTGAGGAAAAGCTTGAAGATGCCGAGAGAAGGAACTTTAAAGTAGCTTTAAAGAGTGGSGAGGCTTTGAAAAGGATCGAGGGATACCTTGAGCAGTTAGAAAAGGAAGAGAAAAAATTACGGAATACTTCGACTTCTTAGGATTTCCTTCAAAGATGTGAAATTTTGAGGTCCACTTATTGCAAAAACATCATAAATAAGTCAACAATTGGTGTTTAAGTGAGAAAATTAAAGCAATCATCTCAAGATGACGTTTCCTATTACCACCCCAATACAAATGTTTTCGTAACAATTTTTTCAATTACCGTTGTGGCAATTTCACAAATTGATACCGAGATTAAATAGTCAGGTAGCTGAAGTTAGAAATCCTACGTATGACAGATTCGCTGTAAAAATATAAATTATATTAAGT